CTGCAGGGGTGATGAGGGGGAAGAAGCCCCGATCAGCACAGCCCTGAGCTCTGTTTTTAATCAGGCACTCACCAGAGATTATCCAAATGCAGAGGTGATGAAGCACAGTCAGCCTCAGCTTTTGCAAGTTTTCTCTCTGCTGCCCTTTTTTCCCACCACCCAGTACTTCCACACTTCCATCTTTTCACAAACGACCCCCAGAGGCTCAAACAACAGTAACCTGAGCCCTAAAGCACCGCCAGAATCAGGCTTAGCCTTCCTAAAGTTTTCCAAGTGCTTTCCTGCATGTGGTTGCATTTTTTTCCCTAATGCCCTTTCCTATCCTGGCTGCCCAGATGCTCCTGACCTGAAAAAACCCCACAGGGGTGATGGGGTGGCAAATATTCAAGCCAAGCCAAGTGAACCTGGAGCTGGCAGGAAAAAAATCTCCATGGCAGAGATATTTCCCTGCATTCTCTGACAGAGCCTTCCCAGGATGTCCCCAGCCCTGGTGCTCACCCGCACTGCCAAGCTCCTCTCCAGCAGGGCAGGGATGGCCCCCTCCAGCACCTCTTTGCCACCATGCTGAAATGGAATGGGAGGGAGGGAATAACCCTTGGACACATGAAAAGAACTCCAGAAGAGATGATGGCAGGTCTCTGCCCCACAGCCTCACCGTCCCAACGCTGGTCTGGCCCAGGAACCACAGTTTGTAGAGCAGCCTGGGGAGCAACGGGCTCAGGAGCATGAGAGGAAAGACACCACACCTCTTTGCAGAGGAAGATGTTCCCAGGCTGTGGGGGCAGCCTTGGCCCCACAGCCTCGAGCAGAGCTCGGGGATAGTGTGGGCACAGGGTGCCCCAGTGCCAGGATGCTCAGCCCTGCCTGGGGGCAGCCCATGGCACAGACCCACCTGCCCCCCTGCAGCTGCCGGGGCTCCCCCTTGCCCCTGTGCTGGGGGCTGTGCTGGAGCTGGAAGTGGGGCTCCTTCTCTTTCAGGGCCTTCAGGTAGGGCAGCAGTGGCTCAAAGACTGTCCCGTCGTGCCAGCGCCACCGGAGCAGGCGGAAGGCGAGCGGTTGTCCCTTCAGCCCCTGCAGCACAGCCCCAGCCTAGGAGGAGGAAGGAGCAGAGGGGAGCAGGGGCAGAAGAGGGGGACAGCCCAGCCCTCTGTCCCCACCCACCTGCCCGGGGGATGTGTATCTCAGCGAGCAGCCGTTGATCTCATCGAGGATGTCACCGGCCAGCACCACCTCGTCCATCTCTGCCTGGCTCCCAGGGAGCACCTTGGTGACAAAGACTCGGCCGTCCACGTACCTGGGGGTGCAGCCAAGCCTCAGCTTCGCCCCAGAGACCCTGTCTCCTCTTTTGTACCATCCATGACGCTTCACCCATACACTGAATGCAGGGAAAAGCCACCTCATGGACAGCAGATACTGGCGAGGCTGAGCTGATGGGGAGAAAAGAACCAGAGACAGCCCTAATGCTCTCAGCAGGATATTTGTTTCCCTTTTTGGGGCATTTTCAGTGCTGTGATGACCAGACCCCTCTGGAGAGTGGAGAGGAGGATCAAGAGTTCCTACCTGAGCACCATCCCCAGTGCTCGGCACGGGACTGTCTCGTAAGCACTGCACACCTGAAGGAGAGTGGATGGTGACAGCAGCCCTGGCAATGGCCATGGGACATCCAAGGGACTCCATGCCCTAGATAATTTCTGTTACTGATGCCAACCCAGGGCTTTGGAAGCCCAGGGAGAGGCAAGTCCCAGTGTCCCAGGCTGAGCTGGGACCATCAGTGGCTGCTCCTTTCTCTGTCCTCCCTCAGGGTTTGGCTGTGCCCAGACCCTGAAGGGACAAAGCTGCTCTAGGGGTGGGATGGCAAAGCAACAGCAAACCCTTGACTCATTGAAGAGCTCTCCTGCTCACCCCACATGTCCCCACGCAGCCGGGGGACGCAGCTGCCCCTCCCCGAAGGCGCTGCTGTTTGCAGCAGCACTTACTGTCACATCGCATTAGCCGGGGCCCTGAGACGTGCCCAGCTCAGCCCGGGGCACTGGCTGTCAGAAATGCCCCAAAGCCAGCGGGATCCCACGGCTCAGTGCACGCCTTGACCAGTCCCAAAGCTGCCCCGAGCTTTTTGGGGATTCTTTTGGGTTTAAAAGGTGGTGGAGGGATGTTCTTCATCGTCAAAAGACCTGAAGGCGTCCCTGCTGTTCTCAGTAACACTGATGTTTCACTGAGCAAACCGAGAGCAAAACCAACTGATGCGTAATCTGTGTCAGCCCAGGGAAATGGGGATTTTTTTGGAAATCAGGGAAGGGAGCATGGGAAAACTTCACTTATATCTGCAATTTAGGCCTGGATACTTCTCTAGCTTGGTTTTACTCCCTGGAATGTTGGGATCTGCTCCTGGTGATGGTGCAGGTACCCAGCAGGATCCAACCTCAATAGCAGAGGCAGCTCTGCTCGGCCTGGTGAACCTGAGCCAGTTCACCCCGGGGTGCGTGGCAATCCCTCCCCACCAAACCCTTCCTCATCTCCCTCATTTGACTTTTCAGGGAGGGCCAGGTGGCAGAAGGATGGCTCCGGGAGCGACGGGCGCTTACCGGCAGCAGCCAGCTCTCGTCCAAGAAGCTGCAATTCTGCAAACAAAGGAGTGTCAGTGCCATGAGTCCCGGCAAGGAAGGAGCCCCACGTTGGCACCCCTGTGCTGGTCACCACCCCACCTGCAGGTCCAGGGAGAAATCTATCTCTGTCAGCACCAGCGAGAGGAAGGGCTCTGCAGAGGGATGGGGATAGAGAGACAGAGTCACTGCCGGGTTCCTGGCAGCCACAGCCTCACAGGGGCACGGCAGAACACAGGATAAAGCCATTTGCAGTGTAATTAATGAGTCCTGGGAGCAAGGCCTTGAGAGCATCACAGCACCATGCACCCAAGCTGCTGCTGGAGGCTCATCCCACTGGCCCAGGTGCAGCTTGGTACCTTTTTTCCCCAAAATTCAGACAAAGACTTGCAGCAAATGCTACTGACTGTTTTTACCCTTAGAAGCACAGCAAAGCTGCCCAGGCTCTCCTACACAAGTCTTGCAATTGCACTGCTAGGTCTGCAATCTGCTCACGCACCAGGAGCACAGGTGATTTATAAACCATTGATGTACAGGTTTAACGTGGGGTTATTTATCATAATCAAAATATTAAGGGCTTCCACCCTGGCCTGGCCCCCCCAAGGAGCCTGGCTGTGGATGGATGGAGTGCTGCAGCCTGTCAAGGCAATGTAGCCATTTAAACCCTGTGCCACCCCTCAGCCCAGGCTGATCTGACATGACCTCCCCTCAAAGCCAGATGGGGTCTGCTTAAGCCAGAATCCTTAGTACAAATGAATAACATGGAAGATACTTCAGAAGAAATTTCCCTACCCCATGCCACTAAAGGCAGCCTTAGATGGAGTCAAATCATGTTTAAATATTTACATTTGGTGTGTTTTTTTTCCATCGCTGCAGCAATGTATTTAGATTCCAGTGCTAAGTTTGGATGAGAAAAATCACAGTGGACTCTCCCCCCTCCCCTGCAGCAGTGCAGTGCTATAACACATCCTGCCTCCAGCGAGCCACCCATCTTACCCCGGAGATCTTCAGTGCCGAGGATGGAGCTCCCTGGATCATAAAACTGAAACCCATGAGACAGCACAGGTTACACCCCCCGTTGCCAGCCCGTGGGTAGCGGCTCCCCCCACGAGCTCACCTCCAGGAGCGGGGGGCTCTGTGCCAGCCACCAGCACCTTCCCCTGCAGGGCCAGGCGCAGGAAGAGCCGCCCGCGGCCGCTCACAGCCCCCGGCCCTCCGCATGCTGACGGACAGAGGGGTCGGCCTGTTTGGGGACAGGAGAAGCAGCTCTGGCAGCACACCGGAGCGCCCTCCCTGCACCTGGGCTCTTTGGGGTGAGCATGTCGCCATAGAGGCCAGCACAGCTCATAGATTTTCACCCCAGCCTAGCTCACCGGCCGCTGGTCCCCGCGGGAAGCTGCTCCAGCCAGTGCCAGTAATCCCGCCTGCGGAAGCCCCAGGTGGGTTCTGCGGGAGAAAAGGAGTGCGGGACCCCTCGCCGCGGGCTCGGGGACGCTGCCACCGCCCGCCCGGGCACGAAGGGTCACTCATGTCGGAGCCCCTTGCGCAGGATGCTCTCCAGCAGCTGGCACAGGGACACGAGGTGCGGCGAGCTGTCCGTGCAGGGGCCGCCGCCCTCCCGCAGCCGCAGCACCCCTCCTGCGGGGAGGAGAGAGAGCGGCCGCACCCGTGGGTGCCCAGCCGGGGAAAGCGAGGGGGTACCGGGGCGACAGCGCTGCGACACCCCGGCACGGCCCGACCCTCCCCGGCTGCCGCCGCTGCGCTGGGCAGGAGCTCCTCAGGTAAACCGGGTAAACTTCCTCAAAGCCGAGGTCGGGCGGCGGGGCTGGTCCGGCAGCCCCAGCGCGGCCCCGCCGTCGGTCCGGTCCGACCGGTACCGGTGCGCGGCCAAGCGCTGCCAGAAGCTCGCACGGGTGCCGGGGGCCGCCCTCACCTTTAAGGGCGCTGAGCAGCGGCTCCTTCCTGGCCATTGGCTCGTCTTCCCCCAGGGCCAGGTGATCCCAGGGCCAGCTGATCCCACGGCCAGGTGATCCCGCGACGGCGGCTGGATGGGAACCGGGAACCAGGAACCAGGAACCGGGAACCGGGTACCGGGTACCGGGAACCGGGAACCGGCCCCGCCCCAGGAGCAGCCCGGCCCCACGCAGGTGTACATACACACACAAATACACGCAGGTGTACGTGTACTTAAACGGAAAGCACGGACGCTGATGTACATAGGTGTAACGCAATGACACATATACTGACTGTTCTATACAGATATGTAAATTCCATCCATTGCAGAGGCGGAACCCGCATATAGGAGACCCATGTGCAAAGCAAACATTTATCTCTACGTGTATTGGGACAGGCGTTGGCACCTGGATATAAGTGTTATAAATCTTCGGTGCCGGCCTCGCCGCAGGCACACACGGGATGCGTGCGGGCGAGCGCTCGCCCTGTCCGTGGGGATGCTGAAGAACGGCGATTCCGAGGAGCATGAGAAGAGGCGGTGCGGGACTCCCGGGGGCAGTGCGGGACCATCGGGGGCGGTGCGGGATCCATCGGGGGCGGTGCGGGACTCCCGGGGGCGGTGCGGGACTCATCGGGGGTGGTGCGGGACCATCGGGGGCGGTGCGGGACCATCGGGGGCGGCGC